GTATTTTAAATGTGTTACTTTGGATGTCACCCCCAATCAGCGCTTCAGGTACAACAATGGAAAAGCCAGACAGGCTTTTAGCATTGACAATGGACTGTGAAAGAGCTTAGTCTTCCTGTGGATACTGGAGACAGCTTATGAGCAATGGCTGCCACAGCCATGCAGAGACATGGGTCCAAGGCACCTGGTACTGGATACCCCTCCTGCCCTTTTGGAATGGGAGTGGTTTTCCACTAGAAGACAAAGGGTTCCTGCCTTACACAAGACCTATATAAGGCAGGGGAGTGACCTCATCGTGGTTCTCCTCTGCCTCCCCACTCTAAGAGACACTGAAAAAAAGATCTGGAAGCAAGAAGTGAACTGGGGGGAGAAGGGTTGAGCCAAAGCTGGAAGGACATCTAGCTTGTGAGTAATAATACCTAAGGTCTCAAGAGGGAGACCAGTGCAGCTGCCTTTCAAGACTTTCTGAAATCTGCCTGCAACAATATCTAGAGTGAGAAATACTATTTGTAACCAATTTCTTTAGTACTACTAGCTTATTTTGCATGTTTGGTTTCATTTGCTAAGTAATCTGCTTTGTTCTGTCTGTTATCTCTTGTATTCACTTAAAATCCACCTTTGGATGTCAAATTTATTTCTTGTTTGTAATGAAACCCAGTTTACACAATTTCTAATGGGGGGAGGGGGGCAAGAAGTGTGCACATCTCTCTTCACATTAAGGAAGAGGGCAGATTTTTCTGACCTTGTGCTATACAGATTTTTCTATACAGCGCAAGACAGTATTATTTTGGGTTTCTCTCCCCAAAAGGAGAGTCTGTGCCTGCAGCGGGGTGTGGCCCTACCTGTGTCTGTGTGCTGCAAGTGGCTGGAAAGCCTAATTCAACACAGCAGGGACAGGGAACCAAGGCTGACTGAGCAGGGGAGGCTCAGTGAAATCCCAGTACATCAGATGGCGTCCCAGAAGGGGTGGTGATCAACCCATCACAGTATCATAAAAGCTTTGAGACTGGTCATATGTGAAGCCATTCATCTTCTAAAATTACTTTTTCCAATGTTGGTCTACCTTGTGTAGCCCAATCAATAAAACAATGAATTCTACAAGCAACTTGTGCGTTTTAATCCATTTTAGATGTCATGGGGGAGAGGGAGAGAAAAAACAATCTGTCCCTGGGACATTTGTTCAGAAGTCCATGTAATGTAATCTACTAGTTCATGGTACCTGGTCTGAAAAAAGCTATAGAAAACGTGCAAAATTCAGAAATCCACTGCAATCAGAGACCTGTACTTCCTACAGTACATATAGCACTTTTCTGCAGGAGATCTCAAAGCACTTTTACAAGGGCTAGCAAATATCCTTATTTTATTGATGAGAAAACTGAGGTAGAGAAAGGTTAACATACAACTTACTCAAGGTCACAGAACGGGTTCCCGGTAAACCTGAGGATAAGCCCATGTCTCCTGTGTCCAGTGCTTTCTCCACTGGAACATACTATCCTACCTCCAGTCTGCTAATGATGTCAGCCTTCATTGCTTACTTGTTACATTTTCAAACAAGCATCTTCATGCTTTTTCTCATGCTGCTCCTCAGACTTGGAAGGAGCTACATATCAAATCTTCTTAAAACTCTCCTTTGCCTACAAAAAGCTTGACAACAGTTAAGGAAATGCTGAAACACTACACATCATGCTGACCAATATGTCTCCTTATGTTCCTCCATCTGTCTGTATCCATCTCTTATCTTATGCTTAGACTGTGAGCTCTTTGAAGCAGTGCCATCTTTTTGTTCTGTGTTTGTACAGCACCTAGCACACTGAGGTCCTGGTCCATGACTGGGATTCCTATGTACTATCACATTACAAATAATAATAGCATGCTACCAATAGATGGTAGGATTACAGACTTCATTATAGACTCATAGACTCTAAGGTCAGAAGGGACCATTATGATCATCCAGTCTGACCTCCCGCATGATGCGGGCCACAAAAGCTGACCCACCCACTCCTGCAATAATTCTCTCCCTTGACTCAGCTGTTGAAGTCCCCAAATCATGATTTAAAGACTTCAAATCGCTGAGAATCCTCCAGCAAGCGACCCCTGCCCCATGCTGTGGAGGAAGGTGAAAAACCTCCAGGGCCTCTCCCAATTTACCCTGAAGGAAAATTCCTTCCCGACCTCAAATATGGCGATCAGCTGAACCTCGAGCATGCGGGCAAGATTCTCTAGCGAGACCCTCTGGAAAAAGTTATCTGTAGTAACTTTTAATATCCCATCACTGACCATTGTTACTAATTACCAGCGATGGCCTGTTATTGACCTATTGACTAAAATCACTTTATCCCATCAAACCATCCCCTCCATAAACTTATCAAGCTTAATCTTAAAGCCAGAGAGGTCTTTCGGCTTATCATATACTTTGTGGAATTTTCTAGCTTCCGTGCATTTCTGGGGCAAGAAGTTATTGCTTAAGCAGTGCCCCCTCCCTGCAAAAAAAAAAAAAATCCAATAGGAGAGGCAGGACACTGATCTAGAACCAGGGGTTCTCAAACTTCATTGCATGGCATCCCCCTTCTGACAACAACAATTACTACATGACCCCAGGTGGGTGGCCTGTAACCTGAGCCCTGCCACCCGGGGCTGAAGCCCTCAGGCTTTGGCCCTGGGTGGTGGGGCCCGGGCTTTGGCCCCAGCCCCAGGCCCCAGCAAGTCTAACACCGGCCCTGGCAACCCCCATTAAAACCGGGTAATGACCCACTTTGTGTCCCAAACCACAGTTTGAGAACTGCTAAGCTAGACCAACAATGAAAATATGAGAGAAATGCCAGTTTCCCTGTGTACCATGTAATTCATGACAGCTAGATTTTGTTTCATACTTTTTAGGTCTTCTCTTCCGAGGAAGCAAACAGGAATGCTCATCAGCAGAAGTGACTTCCATTAACACTCAGGCCATGTTGTGCTTTCATGACTGAACATTCATGAGTGTTTTGAACTTTTAATGGAATTGGGTAATGCATGGTAAGGGAGAGGGAAAAGTTGAGCAGAGGCCTGTTTGCTTGGCTCAAGTAATTCTAAAGGAAACCTGGGTTCTAGAATAGAAGCCTCAGCTGTAGCTGCCCATTGATCAGAGACCTGTGTAAACCACAGCTAACAAGTTGTGGCTTTGCAGGGTAGACATCACTCTTTAGAATGATCCATCTCTGGCCATTGAGGCTGGGAACATTGTATAAGCTGCTGTGTAAATTTATGGTGCTAGCACAATCTTTTACAATGGTGGATACTGGAAGTGAGATCTCTTCTGACCACTCAGACATTGGGCAACCACAAGGAGAACAAGGGACTGGACACAGGGCAGAGAGCGCAGGAGGAAGGAATCACCTTCTAGTCGGTATGGGAGCTGCTCTGCAGAGGCTACTTCAGCCCAGTGGGAGATAGAAGAATCGCTAGTAACAGATCTTCTGGCCCCGCCTATGCCGCTCCTTTGGCCTATGCTCCGCCCACCATATACCTCCCCTGTATCTTGGCCCCCACCTGCCATGCAGTAGAACCCAATTACTTTGCCTCAAGGACCAAAATTCAATATCAGCTAAAGGGTTTAGCAGTGTCCATCGTTGTGTATTTTAAAAGCTATGTCAGACCTAGAGATTCTGGCATCTCAGAACCATGTGTGCTATTACATACCATATGTGCTGCACTACAGTATAGCAGACTGAGGAAGTCTTTGGACTGTCCTTGCTTGAAACAATTTAACTTGTGCATTAATATGATGTTTTCATGGTAACCAGCTATTGCTTTTTGTGTTCTTGAATATGAAAAATATGCGCTGAGATAAGAGAATCAGTATTAATTTCAGTTTCATAATAACTATTGCTGCTTTTCTGCTGTTCCTAAGATTTCGCCTGTGAAATAAGGACTATGGGCTTGCAAGGCAGTTTGTTGAATATAAACTGCCTTTTGAATAGGTTCATTTTATAATACATAATGACAGTCTTAATATTGCTCTTAATATCTGGCTAAGATCATCTTTATTGATTCATGACACCTTAATTAAATTGTAAAAAAGTTATTTTTTGATCTCTTATATAATACCTTTTAAAAAATTCCAGTGGAGGTATCCCTTAAATATCCATATTTAAATATAGTCTGTCCCAGTATATCTGCAATTGCTTTTTATTTAATACAAAGCAGATATTTATTTCTATTCTGCTGCTGAAAGTACACTGAGGCAGACCACCTGGGAAATATTATTCTTTATGGTCTACTCTCATATTAATTACATCTCCATTTTGATAAGTGAATACACATTGTGGAGCAGACAGTTTTTTTAAATGTGGTTGTAACCTCCTCTCATACTGTTAAATGTGCTCTTAATGATTAACAATTGTACAGTACAACAACTTTTTAAAAAAACCTACATTTAATATTTTCCTGCTGAATTCTCAAAGCACTAGCTTCTTTTTTAATGAAATGAGGCAATTTTACCATGAATAATTTAATCAGAAAAGGTCATTCTAACTCATCTCATGAGGAAATTAAGAGAATATGATTTTTTTTCTCATTGAAAAAAATTCTAGCCCTTTTGATCCACACATTTAGCTCTGACGTCCAAAACGCTACCAGATCTACATGTTAAAAAGTCATCCCATAATTCACTTCACAGCCTCCTTGTCTAAAACATCCTTACAGTCTGAGCTCTTACTATTCCAATTATAAACCAACCTTCTTCAGCTTGTGCTGATTTATGTAACTTTCTACTAATAGCAGCTCTTAATGAAGAATGTAGAGAAGGAATTTTAAAACATGATTACAGTCTGGTGTCACAAATCCACCAAACCAAAACAAAAAGTTTAGAACACTAACAAACTTTAGGCTTAAGCTCCCTGTGTTGCAATAATTAAGATCCACAAATAATGCAGTTTTAATTAAGAAAAGGATCAACGTTAAAGATTCATCAACTCCCTTGTTAGGATTCAGCAAATGGAAAATAAATGCCCTGTTACACCTACCTTATTCAGACAAATTGTTCCAGAGAATTGCCATGGTTTAGAGGGTGCCGGTCATCAAACTGGAATCAGAACAAATGAATGAGAAGAAACATCCTAGAGGTTCAAAGAACACAAGCAACATAATCTCTTGTTGGGGGTCTCCAGAAATTCAAACTTTCCCATATCTGTATTATCCTGTTACCTCAATTGATTGGTTTTGTTTTCATTGCCTGCCATCCCCTGCAAAATAAATAAGTAAAAGACCCTATAGCATGATCATTTTCTGGATGAAACTTGCTTTCCCTGCTTCATGCTTTTCCCTGCTTCTTGGCTGACTGGTGCCAGGTCACTGCATACTCCATCAACATAGAAGGAAGGCAAAGCTCTGTTTAGGCTGATAAGGAGCGCTAAGACTCGCATCTACAGTGCTGCCTCAGAGAATGGCAAGCTAACACTTACTATGGATGCTGCAGCAGCATCTGATCATTCATTCTTGTTTCTCGACTCCTCCCCATCAAGCTGCCTGCTTCTGCAAAGTATTGTCCCTCACCTCATCAGCTCAGAAACAGGGACAAAACCTAGTGAACAAAACCAGCTGGAAATCCTCCCTTTTGCAACATGCTGTGCAAATGTGTAACTCCCGTAAAGATAAGGGCAAAGCAGTTCGTCTCAGTCCCAACCCACAAATACAGCTGCAGCTATGAGGAAACTGGAGCCAGTGCCTAGGAGGAATGAATGTTGCCTGCTAAAAGCAAATGGGACATTCTGATCATTGTGGCGGTGTGTGAAAGTCCCACAAGGGAAACTGACTTAAGGACTCATCCTGCAGATACAGAGGTGAGGAGTTCCACTGACTTCAATGGGATTATTGATATACATAAAGTTACTTACATGGATGTTTGTTAGATCAGGCCCTATCACTGTATTTTGCACCCACCTAACCGGTCATTGTTGTATCTAATTAGATATGATAACATCTGGACTATTACATCTTCCTTCCCTTCCAGCCTGAAGTCAATTCAGAGCATTTAAACACATACCTTTTCTCATTCTCTCTTTTCCTCTAATAACGTATCTGGCAAAAATTAAAGGGCTAGATTTATTCCTGGTGTAACCTCATTGAAGTAAAAAATACAATTTAGTCCATTTTTAAAATTTAAATTACCTTTACAGAAGCACTTTTTGTACATCTCACTCCATCAAAAACCATAAATCAATTATATATTATTGACACTTAAATTCCCTTTAGAAGGGCATAGAAGTAGTTTTAATAGACCATTTTATATATTGAAAATAAATATCACTGTATTTTTAAATGCACAAACAATTACAATTAAAAACATACAGTAACAATAATAATGTGTGTGCAATACCACACAAAGGAAAAGGTGGTCTCTTGTAGCCAGGTCTCAAGCCATTTAGACTGCAAGTCTTAAAACCAACACCTTGAACAGGATTCTATCACCTTCAGAAGGCACCTTCTCTTCTGAAAATATTTTACCCATTGGTACTATTGTTATAATACCTAAAATTGCTATATCTGAAAAAGATTAGGAAAAAAAGTCAAATCTGTTTTATTTTATTCATTTGACAGCACTTTGTATCTAGACAGTTTCAGTTTTCCTTGGTGATTGAGTCTTTCACACAGCAGTTGGAAAGAAAAACATCTGGATAGAAAAAAGTAATTCTAAACTCACAATAATTGGCAAGGGGGGCCCAAAAGGCAGGTGTAATACCTGCAATTCCTTTTAACTCCTATTTTGAAGTTGACTGGATTTCAAAGTGACAGTGTCATTTTGCATGATTGTAAGAAGCGCTATTAAGAAAGCTGCCTACAAAAATGAATATCCTCTGTACTCTACCTAGCCTCTCAGGAACAGAGTCATTCAGTATGCAGACCAAGAGTAGTTTGGAGGATGGAAGCTAGAACATCCTGCCCCCCAGGAAAAATAAACTAGGACTCCTCAGCTCAAGCATCCCATCTGAACTCAACTGTAACTTTAAAGCACAAAGAGGGAGGCAGCCCCCAAGATGCAAAGGCAGATCTGTGCAATACCACACAAAGAAAAAGGTGGTCTTTTGTAGCCAGCTCTCAAACCAATGCTTAAACTCCACCCAAAAGCTAATAAGTTGCCACTAACGACCACTGAACACCAGTCTAATGTATTCTGTGTAAAGCGCCTTTTAATAAGTGGACAGCCACCATTCTTCGACTTCAGCTTTTGGATGATCTCCCAGTATAGGCTCATGTACAGTGCATTATAGGGTTTTCCAGAAACCCCAAGCCAGACACTGCAGACCTATGTCCAAGAAGTAGCTCTGCCTTTGCTTCCTTATAGAGTCACTTTGCGCCCTGGTCATTGGTGGATGGGATCAAACCTGGGACCTCTGACACTTAGTGTATGAGCTTTTACTGCTTGAAGTTAACCTGGGAAATTATAGACCCAGTCAGCCTAGCTTTCTTTCCCTTTTTGAAGACAGGTGCTATGTTTGCCCTTCTGCAGTCCTCTGGGACCTTGCCTGTCCTTGAGTTCTCAGAGATAATTGCTAACAGTTCTGAGATTGCTTCAGCCAGTTCCTTAAGTACCATAAGGTGAATTTCATCAGGCCCTGCTGACTTGAATACATCTAACTTATCTAGATGTTCTTTAACCCTGTTCTTTCTCTATTTGGACTTTTATTTCTTACCCCTTGTTTTTAATATAAAAAGTGAATAGCACATTCACCTTTTTTAATGAAGACTGAAACAGGAAACATTGAACATCTCAGGTCTTCTTGATGTCTTCTGTTATTAGCTCTCCTTCCCCTCTAAGTAGAGGATCTACACTTTCTTTTGTCTTTCTCTTGCTCCTAATATATTTATAAAACATCTTATCTCTTATGTTGCTTGCTAGGTGTACCTTATTTTGTGCCTTAGCCTTTTAAATTTTGCCCCACATACTTGTGCTATTCTTTTCTACTCCCTAACAATGTGTTATGTTTTGTTGCAGGGCCATTACCCCATCACCGTGGGGGTGGGTCAAGGGTGTTGTAGACCCACAGTTAAGTCAATATGGCTGCACTCAGCCTCAGGTCTCCCTGGTCCATTGGCCGGCACCACTAGAGCTCCCCTCACCTTCAGGGAAGCATGGCCTGATAGCCAGGGTCAGTAGCTTGCCCCCGGGGCAGCTGGAGAGTGTGGGCCAATGGCCATAGTCTGTAGATTGCCCCCAGGAAGTGCGGGCTGATGGCCATAGTCAATAGGCCTCCCCTTTGACTACAGGGAAGCGTGGCCTACTGGCCAAAATCCATAGAAGGGAAGTTTGGTGAGCCACCCCCAAAGGCGGAGGGTGGCAAGGTAGGGGGACTTCAGTTCTCCCTGCTCCCTTTGGCCCCAGCTCAGGTAGTGGCGATGGGGTTTGCCATGAAGTCGGTGGGGAATCTGCCACAACACACCGACTGCTACAGGGACAGTGGCTAGTCCATACCTGGGCTGCTTCCTATTGTGACTCCTGTAGCTGAAGTCAGGGTGCCTTCGGGGTCTTGGGATGCCTTGGATGGCAACTGCAATTTCCCTAGGGTGTCCCCGGGTGTCTGCATGCCTACCTGGGCTTCAGCATCTCCTGCTCCCTCGGTCCGTGTTCCTGGGTGCTCCTCAACTGGAGCCAGTGGGGTACATCCTTCCTCCTTGGTGGTCAGCTCAAACTGAGCTGGGCTGCTCCCTTTTATACTGCAGCAGCAGTTGGAGCATGCCCAGCAGGGTCGAGGGGGCATGGCTTCTGCTGCTAAGAGCGCTGCCTTAACCTCTTCCACTCCAGTGCGGGGCCAGTATACCCCATCACATGTTTCTACTTTTTATAGGATTTCTTTATGATTTTCACATTATTAAAGGGGTCCCGCTGGAGCTATATTGGCCTTTTACTATTCTTACTATTTTGCCTTCACATTGGGATAGTTTGCTGTTGTGCCTTTAATAGGGTCTCTTTGAGAAACTGCCAGCTTTCCTGAGTTCCTTTTTCCCTCAGATTTTCTTCCCATGGGACTTTACCTACTAGTTCTCTGAGTTTATTAAAGTCTATTTTTTATTAAGTCCATTTTCCTTATTCTGCTGCTCTCACTGCCCCCTTTCCTTAGAATCATGAAATCTATCATTTCATGATCACTTTTACCCAAACTGCCTTCAACCTTCAGATTCTCAACCAATTCCTCCCTGTTAGTCAAAATCAAGTCTAAATTGGCTGTGTCCCCTGGCTACTAAAACAGAAAATTGTCCCCAATACATTCCAGGAACTTATTGGATCATTTGTGTTTTGCTGTTTTTACTTTTCCAACAGATGTCTGGGTTGTTAAAGTTCCCCATTACTACCAGGTCTTGTGTTTTGAATATTTCTGTTATTTGTTCTAGAAATGCCTCATCCACCTCCTCCTCCTGATTTGGTGTGTATAGTAGACCCCTACCATAACAATGTACCCGTTTTCCCACCTTTTACCTTTACCCAGAGACATTCAGCTCTCACCTCCTTCTGGACCTCAGACAAGTGTATATATTATTGATGTACAATGCAACACCTCCTCCCTCTTTCCCCTGCCCATCCTTTCTGAACAAGCTATACCCCTCTATACCAATATTGCAGTCATGAGATTTATCCCACCAAGTTTCAGTGATGCCAATTAAGTCATAATTTAGTTTATGTACTTCTCATTCTTCCTGTTTATTCCCCATACTCCTTGCTTTTGTGTATAGACATCTAAGATGTTGAGCTGATTTCTCCATTATCCCTTTTGTAAATCCTGTGTCCCTGTTGTAATTTCCATTTACTCCTCCCCCCCCCCCCAACATTTAGCCCTCTGCTACGGTCATCTTTTTTTATACCTATCTGTGGGTTTTTTCACCTGCCCCCTTTGAATCTAGTTTAAAACCCTCCTCCCTGGGTTGGTGAGTCAGTGTGTGTGAAGATGCACTTCCCCTTCTTGGTTAGGAAGGTGCCAGCAGTTCTTCTTCCCAGAACACCATCCCATGGTCAAGAAAGCCATAACCCTCCAGGTGACACCACCTGTGCAGCCATGAATTCATCTCCAGGATGCACATGTCCCTGCCTGGGCCTTTACCCTCAACCGGGAGGATGGATGAGAACCACCTGTGACCCTGATTCCTTCACCCATGCTCCCAGAGCCCTGTAGTTACTGCTGATCTATTCAGGATCTTGGCTGGCAGTATCATTAATGCCCACATGGACAAGCAGCATGGGGTAGTGGTCACAGGGGCAGATGAGCCTTAGGAACCTTTCTGTAATGTCTCCTGCTGCCTGCATCTGCCTCCTGGGACATAAGGTCATGTCGGCATATCCTGTTGTAATTTTTAAAGCATTATACTAACACTCCTACTTTACATTTAAATTAGTCTCTAATGAAAGAGAATATTCTTTGTATAAAAAAGGGGTGATGGCACCAGAAAATTCATCTGATCTCATTAGTTTACAGAGAAAAAAAATAATCTAGAGCAGAGTATTGGTGCCAGTAGCTATTTTTAACAAGATTCACAATAGGAGCTTCAATCCCAAAGAACAACTAGGAATGCATCTCCTGGATAATGAGAAATGGGGAGGTACTTCAGTATCAGAAGGGAACCTTTCTCATCATTAGTAAATTTCAGTACTTGTTGGAA